GTGTGCATGTGTGTTTGTGTGACTGCGTGTGAGAGAATGTGTGTGTGTGGGTGTGTGTGTGTGAATGTGTATATGACTGTGTGCAAATTTTTATGTGAGTGCACTTATATTGTCTAGATAGAAAACAGCTGGAATCTCATGGCTTGTGCTAGTAAGTGAATGGAAACCACTCAGGGAGCCCTAATGCCCAGTGTTTCTCCCTTCCCAGGACACTGTGAAGGATAACTCACTTCTTTTCATGCCAAATGTTCTGAAAGTCTACCTGGAAAATGGACAGACTAAATCCTTCCGTTTTGACAGCAGCACTTCCATCAAGGTGAGGTTCATTTTTCATTTGGAAACAACAGTGTTCATAACTACAAGTTATCATCAGTAATTAATCATTAAAATGACAGAAATGGAAATTCCATGATAAGAATATGAATTTGATCATCTCTGGAGGAGCCACCGCACATCAGCCCTGTTTGGTTACAGCTGGCTCTTTATTTGATTCTTCTTTTTTTTTTTTTTACCTTTTATGATTCTATTATTTACCAGGAAATTCAAGTGAGAACCAAGACATGGCCAGCAGCAAATGGACAATGGTGTTGTGTAATGGTTAAGGCCCTGGTTTTTAAGCAGAAGGTGTATCAACTTTATTCTGAATAGGGGAAAATGAAGTAGGTGCAAAGTGTGATAACTGTGTTTTCTGTGTGACAGGATGTTATCCTGACTCTGCAAGAGAAGCTGTCAATCAAAAGCATTGAGCATTTCTCCCTGATTCTGGAGCAGCGGGAGGCGGGGACAGCCAGCAAACTTCTGATCCTCCATGAGCAGGAGATGCTCTCCCAGGTGAGCCCTTTTTGCTAACAGGCGCTGATGTGCTGGTCAGAGTGGCTAACCCTAACCCTAATAACCCCAACGTGCAGGATACAACGTGCTAACGGTTACCTGTGTCTGATGGAAAGTGTTAGGGTTAGCAGGCTGGTCAGAGTGCCCATGCTAACCCTAACCCTAACTCTTACCCCTAGGACATCATGTGTGGCAGGATATGACCTGCTAACAGGTACCTGTGACTGATGGAAAGGGTTAGGGTTAGCAGGCTGGTCAGAGTGCCCATGCTAACCCTAACTCTAACTCTAACCCCTAGGATGTCATGTGTGGCAGGATACAAACTGCTAACGGGTACCTGTGACTGATGGAAAGGGTTAGGGTTAGTAGGCTGGTCAGAGTGCCCATGCTAACCCTAACCCTAACTCTAACCCCTAGGACATCATGTGTGGCAGGATATGACCTGCTAACGGGTACCTGTGACTGATGGAAAGGGTTAGGGTTAGCAGGCTGGTCAGAGTGCCCATGCTAACCCTAACCCTGACTCTAACCCCTAGGACGTCATGTGTGGCAGGATATGACCTGCTAACAGGTACCTGTGACTGATGGAAAGGGTTCGGGTTAGCAGGCTGGTCAGAGTGCCCATGCAAACCCTAACCCTAACTCTAACCCCTAGGATGTCATGTGTGGCAGGATATGACCTGCTAACAGGTACCTGTGACTGATGGAATGACCAGCTTTGGCTTGGATGTCCACAGCAGTGAGGCAGCTGTTAGCAGGGATGAAGCCTTTTAAAGTTCTCTGTTTCATCGCTCTCTTTAGGATACTCCTGGCTGGTCAGGTCTCTGCGTTAGCCAAGTACATGCTGAATTTGTGTTCCTTTGAAAGCACAGGTATTGTGTACTTTGAAACACACCAACAGTGTGGAAAGCAGTGAGTGTTAGTCATGACACACACGAAAGAAGTCACTTGTGAACAAATTCCTCCTTCTAAGCCAATAGACAAGCAATGCTATGGTGTTTGGCTCAGCGTGGGAAAACACACACACACACACACACACACACACACACACACACACACACACACACACACACACACACACACACACACACACACACACACACATACATACAAGGATGAGCCAAAACATTATGGCAACCTCTCAGATGAAGCAAATAATGTATATTATCTTATAACAACTGCGCTAATGAGGGTCTGGGATATATTAGACAGTGAGTGAACAGCTAGTTCTCACAGTCAATGTGTTGAGATATGGGAGAAATCGGCAGGCATAAAGACCTGAGCAACTTTGACAAGCACCAAATCATTATGGCCAGACAACTGATGACTGGGTCAGAGCATCTACAAATTGACAAGGCCTGTGGGATACCTTCTGACAGTGGTCTGATGAGGGACACACCACGAACCGCTAACAGGGTGTTGTGTGCCTGAGGCTCATCGATGAGTGAGGGCAATGAAGGCTATCCCGCCTGATCCAACCTGACAGAAAGGCTACTGTGGCACAAGTCTCAGAAATTTTAATGATGGTTGGGAGGAATGTGTCACAATACACAGTTCCTCACACCCTGCTGCCGACCGGTCCCATGCTAACCCCTGTCCGCTATTGAAAGCTCCTACAATGGGCATGTGAGCATCGGAACTGGACATTGGAGCAATGGAGGAAGGTCACCTGGTCCAATGAGTCCTGTTTTCTTTTACATCACATGGATGGACGGGTACGTGTGCGCCGTTTCCCTGGGGAAGTGATGGCACCCAGATGCATTATGGGAAAGGACAAGCTGGTGGAGGGAGTGTGATACTCTGGGCAATGTTCTGATGAGAAAGTCTTTGTCCGGGCATTCATGTGGACAACAATTTGACACGTACCACCACCTAGCTAAACATTCTTGTGGACCAGGTACACCCCTTCATGGCAATGGTACTCCACTACGGCAGTGGCCTCTTTCAGCAGTTGTGCCCTGCCACATAGCACACATTGGACCACATTTATCAAACGCGAGCCAAACAAATTTGATCGAAGATCATTTGTAAATGCTTTTTCGCACAATGTGGGATTTATCCCATATTTCACCCATATGTTACCTTATACATTACCAGATACAATAGCTGAAATACAGTACTGTATGTGTACAGTATCTTGGCTATGTAGTCAATACAGGTAAACTACATTACAAAATCTCATATAGCTTTGCTAAGTATGTATATAATATGGTGTTCATGTTCGCACAATGTCCAAATCACATAACGTGAACATTACAGAATGTATAATGGACTTTATTTGATGCATACCTGTATACATTTTAAAAAGTAAAGAAAAAATATATGTAAATGTAAAACATCTACCTGCCACGCTAATTATGTCCGCCTTCCATCCATTTCGAGATACAACTGGTCGGTCAGAACGGAACACAGACGTATTGAATGTGATTCCAAGCTCCTTGTATGGTATATCAGGGGCGCCAATTTATGCTAATCAAAAATTCTGTAAATGTGCTTCTCATTTACAATTGATTGGTATATTTCAACATATCGTACACATGGGGATACAAACAAATGCTGTGTCTATGCATGTTTGATAAATCTGGCAGAATTTATTAGATTGTATCCGTTGATGCATAAATTTACACACAGCTTTACGAAAATATTGATAAATGAGGCCCATTGTTTGGGAATGGTTTAAGGAACATTATGAAGAGTTCAAGGTTTGGCCTCAATCTAATCAAGCATCTGTGAGATGTGCTGGAACAACAAATCTAATCCACAATAGCTCCACCGCACACCTTCCAACAGGACTTAAAGGATCTGCTGCTAATGTCTAAGTGCCACATACCACAGGGCACCATCAGAGGTCTTGAAGAGTCCATGGGCACTATGCATACTTTTGTACTTAAAAAGCTACATAAGCCAAAACCAACAAATTTGCTTACACAAAAAGAATTCTGATTTATAAAACTTGCGTATACAACACATATGCATGTTTTCTTCTATAAATCACAACTAATCGTACAACTGTGTGTGCATGAATGCGCACAACAACCACACCCTGAAACGCCCACATTTAAGCATATACAGTGCTCCGGAAGTTGAAATCAATTAAGCAAGAACTATAAATGATGTGCAGGACAAAGCAATAAATTGTAAATGCAACAATGGCAGGGAATAGGGGAAAAATAAATCAAAGCTTTATTATCCTAAATAGATATAATTTAATTTTATAATTTCAGGTGGCCACAGCCCCGGGTTACACAAAAACCGTTGCATGGCAGGAGGTTACCGTGGCTGTCAATTTCTCAGGTATAGAGAGCCACACACGAAGATTGAAACCAAGAAAAAATGGTGCGACATCAAGGTTGAGGCAAACAGGCATATACCTGCTCAACTACTAGTGTAGAAGCGGTATGGAGGTGCCATCACTGAGCTTCCTCAATGTGCGTCTAGCTGCAGTTATCGGAGTTTATTTAAAAAAACTGTTTATCAATATGAATGAATCATGACATGACCCTGGATATTGGGCAACCACATTTTTCTTGGTATCGTTTGTGCATCGCATGTCAGTTGTACTTTTATTGAATGGGAATTCTTACGATTTACTTGCACATATTCATCCACTGATGGAACCCATATTGCAAAGTCGATTACATACGGAAAACTGATCATCACTGCAAATTGCTCTTTGATGTTTGCTGGCTGCATAGAGGAATCTGTTGTACCTCAAACTAAGATGAATGATGCCATCCAACACTTGTGGTATGACATAACTGAATGAAGGCTGGAATATACTCGCCAGCTATTTCCCACTGGAAGTAGAGTTGACAGGACTCGCAGATGGACAAGTATTGGCTAGTTGCTACGTGTAGGATGCTCCAGCACCGGCCCCAGTCCAGCACAGTGTTCCAAGAGCACAGCTCATGTTAAGCGAAACTGACTTGTGAGCCGGTCATTGTCATCGGCCAAAAAGTCGGAACGTCCCTGAAGACACCTTCCCATCGCACCATACCATACACAATATCCTCTAGCAATGCCAAGCCATTGCCATGCTGTTTGGCTTTCATCACACATTTTAGGTCTATATATGTGAATAAAATAAATTGATTAAAAATGCAGTGATTGCTCATATCTGTTGGTTTAATGGATCACTTATTTATGGTCAAAAATAACACTGATGGTGCGCCCCAGTAGCTCAGCTGGTAGAGCGCATGCCACGCAAGGCCTTGGCCTTGCCACAGCAGCTCAGGTTCAAATCCAGCCTGGGCCCTTTGCTGCATGTCCTCTCCCCTCGCCCTCTCCTGCATTTCCTGTTTACCTCTCTACTGTAACTGTCAAATAAAGTGGAAAAATCCCAAAAAAAATAACATTGATTAAACAAAGTAATTTGATCCAAGTTAATCATTAGGAATATGGGACCTATTTTGCAAATTTCTTTTGTTCTCTAGGGTGTGCTATTTAGAGCAGATATGTGCCCTAAAAATGTGTACACATGAGTCAAACGTATCATACCGGTACGCACATTCTCACATCAAGTAAAAGTTATATAAATCGGTGTATGCACGTTTTGGAGCGCTTTTTGTCCGTACGCACGGTTTATAAATGAGGCCCCATGTTTTGGTGAGTCAGAGCTGTTTTAGTGGCACACTAAGGAACATATTAGGCAGGTGTTCACAATGTTTTGGCTCCTTGGGGTATGTGAATGTTCAATGAAATACCACAAATAAGTAAAATACAAATTAACAGGTAAAAATATTTGATATATACACTGATCAGTCATAACATTATGAACACCTGCCTAATATTGTGTAGGTTCCCCTTTTGCCGCCAAAACAGCCCTGACCCAACAAGGCATGAACTCCACCAGACCTCTGAAGGTGTGCTGTGGTATCTGGCACCAAGTCGTTACCAGCAGATCCTTTAAGTCCTGTAAGTTGCGAGGTGGGGCCTCCATGGATCATCTTGTTTGTTCAGGAAATCCCATAGATGCTCGATTGGATTGAGATCTGGGGAATTTGAAGGCCAAGCCATTTGAAGTTGTTGTTTTCCACAAATGACATTTTTGGTTTGTGGCAGGGCCCATTATCCTGCTGAAAGAGGCCACTGCCATCAGGGAATACATGAAAGGGTGTACATGGTCTGCAACAATGCTTAGGTAGGTGGTACGTATCAAAGTAACATCCACATGAATGGCAGGACCCAAGGTTTCCCGGCAGAACGTTGCCCAAAGCATCACACTGCCTCCGCCAGCTTGCCTTCTTCCCATAATGCATCCTGGTGCCATCCTGGCCATCCACGTGATGTAAAAGAAAACGTGATTCATTTGACCAAGCCACCCTCTTCCATTGATCCGTGGTCCATTTCTGATGTTCACATGCCCATTGTTGGCGCTTTCGGCAGTGGACAGGGGTCAGCATGGGCACCCTGACTGGTCTGCGGCTACGCAGCCCCATATGCAACAAACTGCGATGCACTGTGTGTTCTGACACCTTTCTATCAGAACCAACATTAACTTTTTCAGCAATCTGAGCTACAGTAGCTCATCTGTTGGATCGGACCACACGGGCCAGCCTTCACTCCCCACATGCATCAATGAGCCATGGCCCATGACCCTGTCGCTGGTTACACACTGGTTCACTTCACCTGTCAGTGGTCATAATTTTAAGGCTGATCAGTGTATATATATAGTGTATTCCTTGTAAAGTTTGCTGTGCTGATGGGTTTTTGAGAGAGATAAAAGAGGTCTTTTTACTGTTCCCCAGGTGACCCAAAGACCAGGCCTGCACAAGATGAAGTGCTTTTTCAGAATAACCTTCGTCCCAAAGGATCCAGTCGACCTGCTCAGAAGAGATGCAGTGGCTTTCGAGTATCTATATGTTCAGGTATAAGGGTTTTATGTATTGCATGTAACACATTGTATTTCATCTGCTACACCCCCTGATGTTGGCTGTATTCATGTTCAGTAGAATGGCAGACCACACCTCCAGCTGCACCTGAAGAAGTGTAGGACTGAAGAGCACAGCTTCACCTGGTGGTCACCAGTGACAAGAAATCTCTTGTTTCAAAGATATATTTCTCATAAGGCCATCATACCAAGATGTGGCTTAATTTAGCTAACAATGAAAAATATTGAAGTTGTATTTATAAAATATTAACTTAACTCATTGTTTAGCGTTGTTGTTTGCAGCGGCAGCATATTAAGTCAAAGACATGACATTGCTTCCCAGAAAACTTTATTGATCCATTGGGGAACTAACAAAAGTTGATGTGGATGAGGAATGAGGAAATTCAGTTTTCTTGTAAAGCCTTTGTAGGTGATTGGTGTCCAGGGGTCTCATTTATAAAACTTTGCATACATTTGTAATTACATCGGCACATATACCAAAACTTACAAGTTTGCATACATAAAAAAATTTCTGATTTGTAAAACTTGTACGCCACACATATGCATGTTTTCTATTGTAAATCACACTAATCCTATGATTGTGCATGCGTGAACCTGCGCAACAACTACAGCTTGAAATGCTCACATTTAAGCATATATGGTGCTACGGAAGTCAAAATTAGTTAAGGAAGATTTATAAATAACGTGCGGGAAAGAACATTGAGTGTGAAATCAAAGCTTTAGTCTCCTCATAAGAGATTTAAATATATAATTTCAGATGGCACCGGAGTAAGAAATCCAAAACAAAACTTGCATGGAAGGTTGCCATGGCTGTCAATTTCTTGGTCATAGACAGCCACACGCAGATCGAAATCAAGATACAACTGTCCAACATCAAGGTTGAGGCAAAAAGCATAAGAGAAACAAGCAAAGGTATGGGGATACCACCACTGAGCTCCGTCAGTAAGTGGCTGGCTGCTATTTTTGTTATATTTCAGTTCATCAATATGAATGAATCATGACATGACCCTGGCCATCGGGCAACTGCATTTGTCGGTGCCATTTCAGTGTCCCAAATTAGGTGCATGGATATTGAATGGAAATTCTTACGATTTAGTGCAGACGATTGCACTGATTACATAGGGGAAACCAGTCATCGCTGCAAATTGCTTTTTGATGTTTGCCGGCTGCATAAGGGAATCTGATGTAACGCCAGCTCAGACGGATGATGCCATCCAACGCTCTTGGTGTGGCTTGACTGAGTGAAGGTTAGAAAAATCCTGACCAGTTTGCTAATTCCCACTGGAAAGTCCCCTTGGCCAAGAATTCCAGAGATGACAGGGTTTGCGGGTATTAGCTGGTCGGCCCTAATTCAGCATAGTGTTCCAAGAGCACAGCTTGTGTTTAACGAAACTGACTCATGATCCGGCCATCATCATGACCAAAAAAAGCTGGAAAAGTCTCTGAAGACACGTTCCCATTGCTCCATACCACTCACAATATCCTCTAGAAATACCAAGGCAGCCATGGTCATGCTGGTTTGCTATCGTCACACACTCTCACACTTCACACTGTCGAACAAAATTAATTGTCCAATAATGCACTGATTGCTGTTTATATAATGTTAATAATTTACCACTTATTTTTGGCCAAAACCCACACTGATTTGGAATGACAATGTGGTCCTAATGAATCATGAGGAATAAGAGAGCTATAGAGCAAATTTATTTTGTTCTTTTGGTGTGCTGTTTAGATCAAATATATTATATGCCCTAAATGTGGGTATGCATGAGTCAAACATATTCTCACATCAAGTACAAGTTTTATTAATCTGAAATTGTGCATGAAAATCGGCGTACGCACATTTTGGAAGGATTTGATGAGGCCCCAGATCTCAATGTAAATTTGAGAAATATTATTGTTGATTATGTATTCTATGAAATAAATGGAGTTGAGCAGAGAAACCTATTATTATTATTATTATTACAGCACAAATCAGCACAAACTCTTACTTGTAGCCATGTAGAATTTTTATTGATCAATTAGCATTTAGCATTTCTAAAGGAACTTCCTATGACTTGTTTGAATGTAGCAACCCAGGTAAATAATTGTAAATAACTTACCCATAATTACTTTTACATTGATGTTTTTAAATTTCTCTTTTATTAGTAGTTTATTTTTGTTTAATCAAAACAAAACGTTTTAGTTCTCATCATTGTGTAACTGTCCTGTCTTGTCTCTCTCGCTGCCTCCCTGCAGAGCAGTAAAGATGTGGTTCTAGAGCGTTTTGGGCCGGAGCTGAAGTATGACATGGCCCTGCGGCTGGCTGCCCTGCAGATGTACATCCTCATAGTGACCACCAAGCAGACACAGAAGGTCTCGCTAAAGTACATTGAGTGAGTTCCTGTCTGCATTGCTGTGAGCGCCTGACCTGAAAAATCTCTCTATACATACACAGTCATCTTGCATTTCATGCCATAGTCATTGTTCAGATGTTACAGTGTAGTATAATGGTTAGGGAGCTGGGCTTGTAGCTCAGAGGTTACAGTGTAGTGTAATGGTTAGGGAGCTGGGCTTGTAGCTCAGAGGTTACAGTGAAGTATAATGGTTAGGGAGCTGGGCTTGTAACTCAGAGGTTACAGTGTAGTATAATGGTTAGGGAGCTGGGCTTGTAGCTCAGAGGTTACAGTGTTGTATAATGGTTTGGGAGCTGGGCTTGTAGCTCAGAGGTCACAGTGTAGTGTAATGGTTAGGGAGCTGGGCTTGCAGCTCAGAGGTTACAGTGTAGTGTAATGGTTAGGGAGCTGGGCTTGTAGCTCAGAGGTTACAGTGTAGTGTAATGGTTAGGGAGCTGGGCTTGTAGCTCAGAGGTCACAGTGTAGTGTAATGGTTAGGGAGCTGGGCTTGCAGCTCAGAGGTTACAGTGTAGCATAATGGTTAGGAAGCAGGGCTTGTAGCTCAGAGGTTACAATGTAGTGTAATGGTTAGGAATCTGGGCTTGTAGCTCAGAGGTAACAGTGTAGTATAATGGTTAGGAATCTGGGCTTGTAGCTCAGAGGTAACAGTGTAGTGTAATGGTTAGGGAGCTGGGCTTGTAGCTCAGAGGTAACAGTGTAGTATAACGGTTAGGGAGCTGGGCTTGTAGCTCAGAGGTTACAGTGTAGTATAATGGTTAGGAATCTGGGCTTGTAGCTCAGAGGTAACAGTGTAGTATAACGGTTAGGGAGCTGGGCTTGTAGCTCAGAGGTTACAGTGTAGTATAATGGTTAAGGAGCTGGGCTTGTAGCTCAGAGGTAACAGTGTAGTGTAATGGTTAGGAGCTGGGCTTGTAGCTCAGATGTTCCAGTGTAGTATGATGGTTTGGGAGCTGAGTTTGTTGCTCAGAG